GTAGGTACTTAAATAAAAAGTGTCAAAATTGGACGCAGAATCAAAGTATGTAGGTACTTAAATAAAAAGTGTCAAAATTTGACGCAGAATCAAAGTATGTAGGTACTTAAATGAAAAGTGTCAAAATTTGACGCAGAATCAAAGTATGTAGTTACTTAAATAAAAAGTGTCAAAATACGACGCAGAAGCAAAGTATGTAGGTACTTAAATGAAAAGTGTCAAAATTGGACGCAGAATCAAAGTATGTAGGTACTTAAATAAAAAGTGTCAAAATTCGACGCAGAATCAAAGTATGTAGGTACTTAAATAAAAAGTGTCAAAATTTGACGCAGAAGCAAAGTAAGTAGGTACTTAAATAAAGTCAGTGATCGTATGAAGTTCATGTGTTTCACAATTAATCAGATAAATTAGGAAAATCAAATTAAATTTAATAACAAACTTACTGTGAGAGTGCCTGAAAGTACCAAAGATATATCTTAAGTAAATTTAACGATAATGTTTTTAATAGTAAGTAATTAACTCTTAGCTTTAAGTTAGTATTTACATGACCGTGAACGTGAACTTCATTTTTTAATATGCATTCTAGAAGGTTATGTTAAATATTGTTTAATTAGTTTTTTTTAATAAAAATAATAATGTAACTAATATGTATAAATATAATAACTAATATATAAAAATAATAATGTAAATAATAATGTAACACGAGTTTTTATTTTTTATAATAGAAACTAGTTTCAATGTTTATCAAGTAATAAACATACTAATACTACATACTTTTATAAAACACAACTTGTTTTTATTGTATTTACAGCAAGTAATATATTATCATAATTATAATTTACTAGCTTTCATCTGCGACTCCGACCGCTTGGAATCAAAACAAAAACAAACCTCAGTAGCCTATGTCATCTTTCTGATTATCCTCTACGTCTACGCGAAATTTAATCGAAATCCGTTTAGCCATTTAGGCTACAACCTCTAACAAACATCCATCAATCCATCTAAACTTCCGCATTTATACATATACATATTTAAAAATTACTATAAGGCCTTTAACATCATGCCGCGGACTTTGTTGTTTGACATGTTGGTGGATTTTTGTTTCTTAAATAGTTCTTCTATTTTTAACATCTTAAATTAGGATAGACCGACTTATTTGACTGGTCTCGTACAAGTGGGTTTAACGAATAATCTTCACCGATCGTTGGGATGAATTTAAAGTAGGGCGAACAATCACTTTGATTGATTGTTGGTTTCACGACCTTAAAGCTATATAAAGCTATTTATTTGAATACGTATTTATTGTGACAGGGAGCCGCACACAGTACAGTATGCACTGAAATTTGGATAACGACAAGAGAACATCGTTTTTGGGCCATCGAACTATAAGGTAAGCAATGTTAGTGTTTTAGTTAAATTTCTCCAGATTTCATTTTGCTTAGCACCTATTTGTATGTACCGAAATCCAATCGATAAAATATCCAGTGTGCCGTGACTTTTTACCGCTTTATTTGTCCCTTATTAACAAAAGGGATCTGTATAATTTACCACCAATTGTTAAATGTTGGTTTGTTTTCTTTTACTACTTTTTCAAAGACAATTATAGAGGAGGCATAGTTGACATTCAGTGTAGGATTAATGATAGATATCTGCACTTTAAGACTTTTCATAAATCCGATAATTGTGCGTAATTTATTGTGCCACTAATACGATTGACGTCAATTCAAGGAAAAACGTTTACTCAGAAATCTTAGAATAATAACCAGCGACCGCCCGTGTTCGGGCGGGCTAATACGTCGCAGCTAAACGCTTCTGCGCAGAATTAATTACTTTATCCAAAATTCATACGCTAACTGTATCATCTTCGAACTACCTATATCTATCCTATTGCATATATAAAATTAATATAAACTCATTACTTTTCACAGCATATTTCATCACATTACAAAATGGTTTAACAACATCAAAATAATCACTAGTAACAAAAAAAAATAAAAAAAGGTTTTAAGCTTTCCCTTTCTCATTTTTTAAATTTTTCACAGTTTGTGTTCAACTACGTCCATTTGTTTCTATTTTTTTCTTCTCCATTGCTCGCGGTGTCGCACTTGTGGCCAGCTTGCCTTCCTTGGCAACGTAAAACTTACCTTGGACGTCGGTAGCCGATGATATGGAGGAGAATGCCGATGATCAAAGAGGGATTGTGAATAAATTGTTTTTTCTTATTTAGAAGAAAATGCTTTAATTAAAAGTCGACAAGTAGTTTTTGATTTTTCTGCACGAATCTCAAGAGTTATATGAACCTTAGAATTTTAAAATAATTTTATTTATGGTGGTAAAATAAATACGTTTATTTATTTTACCACCTTCCTTTGCGACGCCCACGCCAAGGTCTGTATGATAATTGTTTTACGCTAACCTATAATTACATTGTCTTTACAATTATATTTTAATTACATATTCAATACATGGCCATTCCACGTCGAGTGTATTTCATTTATATCTTAAAAATAATAATAATATAACAGAGGCATTTTCTATACAACATTGTTAGAGATGTTGAAGATTACATTATTATCTAAGCATATTTGACCTCATGATCCGCGCGAAGCAAGTAATTTAAATAAATACTTTTATTGCCATTTCGTGCCATTTCGACACAACATGCCAATAATTATATTTTATTTTGTCGATTACTTTTGTTAACACATTCTGAACATTGTATAATATCATTTACAATTATGAGTTCTAGCAAAAAATGTATTGGAATATATCTATACTTCTATACTATTATAATAAAGTGTAAACACACATTACTTTGTTGCCTAAGATGTCAGCAATTACAGCATGTTTTTGAATAAATCTCTTTTTAATAAAAAGCCCTACACTAACGACACGATTTAGGCTAAATTTTGTCAATATTTTGGATAAAAACCCTAATGTGGGAAAGAAAGTTAGCAGGAAATGATGGTCTCATTTCCTGCCAACATAAAGGAAGCAAGGTTGCCACGGTTCTTGTCTCTTATTGTTATGTCATTCTGACATTTGCAATTGATAATTTGACACACGTAAACAATATCACAAAAATTTCATAATTTTATGCGGATGAAGTCGCACGGGAACAGCTAGTTATTTATATTTATCACTAATAACCATAAGTGTCGTGAACGAATAGCCATTTTATTTAGCTATTAAAGATTTTATATACTAAGATATACCAAGATTGGCATATTTTGTAAGAATTAATAAAAGTATTTTCATAATTTGACGCACGTCTTAGATACACACGTACTCAAAGAAAAGAATAGGACCTTCTCGTCTCTTGATAATTTCCGGGATAAAGAGACAAATTGACGAAGGGCAAACAAAAATTAATTCAGGTTTAAATAACGTTTATTTAATGTAAGTAGCATGCAAAATTCGTATAATTAAAATCTAAAGCTAAACTCCATATAAAATTAGTAATAGGTATTTCCAGTAAGTGACATGTTATTTGTAATCATGAGTTCTAAGTACGGGTTTGTCATCTATACTTCTTTACTATTATAATAAAGCGTAAACATACACTCGTTTGTTGCCTAAGATGTCAGCAATGACAGCATATTTTTAAATAATTCTTGTTCTAATAAAAAGCCCTACACATACGCCACGCCTTAGGCCATATATTTTCACGCCATTAAACTTAAGGGCTAAATATTTTGGATAAAAACCCTAATGTGGGAGACCATAATTTGCTGCCAACAATTCGAAGCAAAATAACCAAAGTTTGTCTTGTAATGTTATTTTGACATTTGCTATTGATAATTTAACAAATGTAAATAGTAAAATAATTTTTTTCATAATTTCGTGCCGATGAAGCCGCACGGGAACAGCTAGTTTTTTAGGGAACAGCTATACACGATTATTTGTTTTTGATTTTCTTACATAGCACATTTTCAGCTTCAAAATGTATTATTTTGACTTTGTGTACGTAGTATTTACAAACAATTTTAAGTCAAAAATCTTGTAGCCTTTTTAAAGACATTAGACCAACGGATGAACTTTTTGACATAGCTAAGTTGGTGAAGTGTTTTTTAATCAAAGATATTTTATTGAACTATTATGTTCGAATATAATTCTGTTAACTAAAATAAAAAAATTGTAATAATTTAATTTACTACTAAACTTTTATAAGAAACAATGGTAAAATTATATTTTTTTTATAAAAATGTTACAATATTTGTTACTGGCTGGAAGAACATTTCAACAAAAAAAAAAAAGAAAAACAAAATAGCAATGAAGGAAAACGTGTGTGTAATTTTTTGTGATATTGCGAATACAGTGAGGACAAAAATTAAAAAACAATTTTGCTTAACTGTTTTCAGTTTATTATTAATTTAAAATTTCCAGTTTGGACGCATTCCAGTTCCAGTGAGCTGATGATGATGGTGAATTTACTTTGGATTTCCGATGGCGTCCACTACATCCATCAAAAATCATGTAACAGAAATGTTAAAAAATTCCATAACCTCTAGAACGATTTCAAAAACTCTTTCACCATTGAAATGTATTCAAATGTAAACATACGTGGTATTTAATATTTAAAAAAAAGTATATTGAATCAGTTAAAAATCAACGTTCATATGAAGCCAGGACCGACTGATACATAGTAAAATAAATCTAACCAAAACATGTTAAAATACTGTCAAACTACGAGTATATTTAAGTTCTATTACAAATTGTGTGGGTTTTATTTCCTTCAAAATCCAATAAACCGTTATCCAAAAATCAGTTTTCTTTAAATTAATTGGAACTTATCGATTACCGAAATAAGTTTTTTATAAATATCAGCGCTAGGAACAGCGTTTGAAGGTAAATTGTTAATTTTTTTTAAGAAATTTTCGTACTGTGTTTGTTTTTCCTCTTCATATATGTCTTGTATTTTCAACGTATCATATAATTCTTGGATTTTACGCACACAGCTTTTATCCCAATTGCCGTAATTTTCTTGGAAGATTTTTCGTTGCTCTTTATTACATATTTCTAACGCCTTTACAGCTAACCAGGAACATTTTCCTTTCTGTATGTCTGTTGATGATTTGAATTCATTGCTGTCGTATAAATCCATTAAGTCATTCTAAAACGAAAAGATATACATTATTATCCTTTTGATTTAATTTTCTTTTGAATTCAGTCAGCATATAAGTTAGCAATATAACTAATGTCGAATTTACGCCTTTCCCACACTGAAACATCTGGTGCTGATGGTTTCTAGTGCTCCTTTTAGCACCTTTTCTTAGCAGATTTTAATTTGTAAAATTACCATCATCAATATTTATTTAAGGTATTAGTAAATATTGATTTGTGTAACATAGTGAGTGACCGGCGGCGATAGCGAGTATACCCGATTGATAACTCACCCTGAAGAAGAACCCCCAACTGGTTCGAAACTATCGGTGTCTACACTGAAGGTTGTCATGTGAATTTAGCCGTGTTATAAGTTATATAGAATAACTAGCTGTTCCCGTGCGGCTTCATCCGCATGGAATTATAAAAACTTTATTTTATTGCTTACATTTGTCAAATTCTCAATTGCAAATGTCAAAATTACCGTTACATTAAATAACCTTGCTTCCTAATGTTGGCACCTTTATGGACTCTTTCCCATATGAAGGTATTTTTTCAATTTATTTACCCCCTAAGTTTAATAGCGTGAAAAATATAGCCTAAAGTGTGTCGTAAGTGTAGGGCTTTTCATTAAAGAAGGAATTATTCAAAAATATGCTGTGAATGCTGACATCCTACGCCACAAAGTAGTGTGTGTTTACGCTTTATTATATCAATATAGATGTCTCACGAGAGTTTTAATAAATTGATTGTGTAACACAATTTCACGTTGAGTCTAATTACAGATTATGACTGTATACTCTAAAAAATATTATTCATTTTCATCCATCGCAAATGTATGTTCTTTGTCCAATATGTCATGTCGAAATTACCTTTATTTGAATAAAAACTCCAACGTCGTTACAAACATTATGCACTTGCTGTTTTGCTTCGTTCGTGTCTTTGTTAGCCAAAATTAGAGCAAATATTATCGGAGCCTGGATAGCAAAAAAGGACACTTTCACTTCGTTTATCTTATAATAATAGTCCACAGTAAAATTTTTGTAATTCTGTTTTTCCGATGTTGAAATATCTAGATGCTGCCCGACCGCCGACAAAAAATAAATCTGAAAAATAATGGTCAATAACAATTATTTACAAAGAAACTGAACAAAGCAATTTCTTCACGGTCAGTTATACATAGTTGAGAATTAAAAAGATTTAATAAGTAAACAAGAAGTTGCAGTAAAAATAAAAAAAAAACCTTTTGTTATTTTCATTCATAATTAATGGGTCCAAAAGCCTTTTTGAACATTTTAACACATTACTATAATTACCAATGAACGGTTTAGGAGAGCTTAGACAACATAGAGATTTGGTATTTACTTGCACAGAAGGTAGATGGCGCTCATTTAAAAAGTCAATCAAATTAGTTCACACTCAATGAAAAGCTCTTAAAAGCTCTGCTCTGTGTAAAAATATTTTTTACGTTATTACAAAACAATGTTTTAGTAGTGATTAGGAATATGCTAGCAGATCACATCATTCTCTACTTAAATAAATTAATTTTAGCATACCTGATTAACAAACTCTACAATTCTAAAGCTAAGAGTTTCAGGAAAATTCTGTAGTAGTAATTCGTGTATGAAGCTTCTCAGCATACTGGTGTCGTTCCACGTCAATGGTCCAGCGTCTGGCAGTAGGTGCCAGCACGGCTTGCCGCAACGTGTCTTGCCATCGTCTTCCATGTCATCAATGAACAGAAAGTAAGAAGTGCCCTGTGGAACAATACTTTAGTCTAGAAAAATCTTTTATTAATGAACTAGTTTTTTCCCGTGACGTTTTCCGCGCGGAATTTTAAAAAAAGACTTAATCAGTAGCCTATGTGTTCTTCAAGATTATTTAAACTGCTGAACGAATCTCGATTAAATTTGGTAAAGATGTTGGGGATAGTATGGAAGAACAACATAGGCTACTTACATGTATTTTTTTTTAATTTCACGCAGACGGTGTCGCTGGCGAAAACTAGAATTAATAAAGTATGACAGTATGAAATACAAGAGTATAATATAATATCGGGTACAACTATATCGATACATTTGCCTAGGCCACATTCTACATACCATTTCCATCGCACAAGCTAATGCATAGGCTTGATTTTTTTTCTCTTCGTTATAATTTTCTGGCTGTTCTAGCATTTCGTAAGCATGAAGAAAGAGTTCGGCTAACATAGGTTTTCTCTCGAGTGCATAATAACCAGCCATCTAAAATTGAATACATGGTTAGAATAAAATGTACAACGTTTCGTATTTAAGATTTTTATTACAGTACCTTTTTAATACGATCCTTTATTTCATTTGAATCTAAATAAGGAATTCTTGCTAAAGCTTCATCGACAACCTTAGTGAATATATCATAGTAGTTATCTACAAACTGTTTTGATAACGACGTAAAACAATTACTTGTTTCCGTTCTGGAAGAAAATTGAATACAAATATTAAAACAGGTTTAATTGCTATTTGTTTTTCGATGTATTCAGATAATAAAGTCATTTACCCGCATCACACCCGCATCTCTGATTACAGAAGCCAGGTATATGTACATAGATACGTTATTTTGACTACATTACTATCATCAACAGAGAAAAGATGATAAGGGTCATGTCATTCATTGGGGAATATATAAGAAAATTCATTCATTCATCACCAGCTCACTAGACGTCTCCACCGAGGGGCTCGGAGCCTACCCTAAGTTAGGGTGACTAGGCCATAGTCAACCACGCTGGCCCAGTGCGGGTTGGTTGACTACACACATATCTTTGAATTGCTTCGCCGATATGTGCAGGTTGCATCACGATGTTTTCCTTCACCGTAAGAACGTCGGGTAAATTATGCATGTACATATGAAAATTCGAAAAATCGAAAATCACATTGGTACATGGTGGAATTCGAACCCAAGACCTGAATATAACAAGTCATATGCTTAAACCACTAAGCCAACGATGCTCTGTATAAGAAAATAGCCCATTTAAATTACACAACTACTTACATAGATTACGTAACCACAGTTTTTTTAAATTTCTCTTTGTTTTATATTGTTCTTAACTGTCGAAGCATTTATTATCTTATTATCTTCTTATTATCTTAAAAAACGCTAAATGTGCTAATGCAATGATTAATAATAATAGTATAATAATAAAGCCTTTATTGCTGAAGAATTTTACAATTCATTTTTTTGTTTTTTCTTATAGCTATTTACATTTTCTTTAGTGGTAAAATAATTTTTGAACCGACGACTCTTATCCCTAATCAGCAGCTTGTCCTTGGACAAAGACCTCCTCTAAAGACTTCCACCTCTGTCTACCCCTAGCTTCACAAATCCATAAACGACCTGCAACTTTTTTGAAGTCGTCTTCCCATCCCTTTACCTGTCTTCCTTTATTCTCTTCCCATGTCGTGGGTACCAATCTGTAACCAATCTAGACCACTTTTCCTTCTTCTCTCTTATCATGTGTCCCTTCCAACGCCATTTTTGTGTCCTTATAGTGTTAGTGATATTTTAAAATTTTGTTATCTCTTTGTCATGTTTCACTGTTATTTTTTCTTTAAGCTTTACTCCGAGTACACTTCGTTCTATACAATTTTGACACACATTTAATTTATTGAGACGTTTATTTGTTATTGCCCACGTCTGACATTCGTACTATAGGCAGGGCAGTATGCATGTATTGAACACATTTTTTTTATGTTTCAATTTAATGTGCTTATTTTTCGTGACTTCCTTTAATGACCAGTACCTCTTCCAGGTTTTTGTTACTCTCCTCTGTATTTCTTTCCCGTTGCAGTCTGCTGTAGAACTTAGATGTCCCAAATAAATATATTCATCTACGTATTCGATATTCTCGTCGTTAACTTTGCATTTCGCGGAGTTCGTGAGGATTTTTGTTTTATTGGTGTTCATAGTGAGACCGACTTTGCCACTTTCGATGGCGAGTTCTTATAGCATCTTCTCTAGTATTATAGGAAATTCTGAAAACACGACAATGTCACCAGTAAACCTCAAATGACTAATCTTTACACCATCTATACTTAGCCCTCTATCCCCCCTTTCCAGATTTCTAAACACCATTTCTAGGACAGCACAGAAAAGCTTGGGTGATATCGGGTCTCCCTGTCTCGCGCCTCTCTCTACTAGATATTTTGGACCAATTCTTTCAATTTTGATTGCAGATTTGCAATTCAAGTATAGATTTTGTAAGATTCTTATATGTTTATTACCGATTCCTTGTAATTTTAGTGCAGTCCATATAGCTTTTTGCTTTACTACATTGCAGGTCTATTGTTGAGAAGTTGCTCCTGAAACCCGCTTGTTCCTTAGGTTGGTGTGTATCTAACGTGGGAGTGATTCTTTTTAATATTACTTTTGAAAATACCTTATAAACGTTGGACATTCGGCTAATGGGTCTGTAGTTTCCTATGTCTGTTTTATTTCCTTTTTTGTATATAAGGGTGATGGTAGATGTTGACCAATCTGTAGGTATGATTTATTCTGTTCGTATGTTGTTGAAAATTTTTGTTAAAATTGGTACAAATGCACTTATGCCTGTTTTTAGCACTTCGTTTGATATGTTGTCCGGTTCGGTTGCTTTACCATTTTTCTGTGTTTCTATTGCGTTTACCACTTCGGATGTAGTTATTGCTGGTATTGCTTCTTCGTTAGGGTCCGCGTGTTTCGATGATATACTTGGTGTTCTTTTATTCGAGCTATATAAATTTCGGTAAAATTCTGTAGCTGTTTCTAAAATGTCTTTCCTTTTTCCTGAATTGATCCCATCTTTTGTCTTTAATTTTGTCATCCAATCAACTTTATTTTCAAGATGTTTAAATGCTTTATTTACTCCTCCATTTTCTTCTATTTATCTTATCTCTGTTTCTTTTTATATCTTTTTTTTATTTATATACTTATGGTTTTACTTATATTTTTAATTTCTAGTCGATATTCTTTTCTATTCGAAAGCGTTTTTCGAGTAAAACTTGCGTTTCAGGTGATAATATTGCTTTACTTTCATTCTTTCTCCTTGTGAGGTCGTTGATGGTTTTTATAAATGTTTCGTATTGTTGTTCTATATTATCTGTATCATTTAATGTTTCTTCAAATTTTTGAACGATACTGTTTATATCAGCTTCGTTAATGTTGAGAGTAGTTCGTGGCCATAGCTTTTTGTTAAAGTGTTTCCGAGATTGCTTAGCTAATTTCGATTTCAAGGCTATTCTTACCATTCTGTTGTCTCTGTTAAAGTTAAGTTAAGATAATGTTCATATCTTTTTCCTTTTTTAATGTTGTAGCATAAAATGTAGTCTATTTAGTTTTTATTTTTCCCATCCGGTGATACCCATGTCCATTTTTTTGAGGTTTCATTTTAAAAATGCTATTCGTAATACTTAATTTATTCTCCCACGCAAAATTAATCAACTTCTTTCCATTAGAGCTTCTTCTTCCTATACCAAACTTGCCAATAATTTATTCTTCTCCTATTGCTGCAGCTCCAACTTTTGCATTGAAGTCGCCCATTATTATTAAGTTTTTATGACACGTTTGTAGCACGGATTGTAGATTCTCATAGAAAAATTCTGATCTTGTTATGTCTTCTGGTTTGCTAGAGTCGGTGGGTGCATAAACTTGAACGATGGACCACATCTCATGTTTTCCATTGTTTGTAGGAAGTTTGATATTTAGTATGGCGATCCTATGCGATACTCCTATAATTTCTTCTATATTTAATCGTAGATATTTTTAATTAGAAAGTCAACTCCGAACATACCACTCCTTTCCCCTTTGTAACAAAATATGTAGTTTTTATGTTCTTCTATGTCTTCTCCTAGTCTTCTGACTTAATTTACTCCTAGTATGTCGAATTTTATATTGTTCAATGCTATTTCTAGTTCCATTAATTTATTTTGAGTTTTTAGGGATTTAATTTAGCTATATATACTGAGTTTTTGGATCAGTATATATAGATCATAATCAATAGATACAATGTTTATATTCTTAGTTTCCGTCCATATTCTTATCTTGATTGATGTGATTTTTAGTTTGATATAAATGCCAGTTGGGCACTTACACGGCAATGTGCACTTTACTTCGTTTAAAGCACTAAAATCTTCTAAATTAAACAACTTTGAGAGAGCAATCAGAGATACAACTTAATCTTTTGACAACCGTTTGACACATGCAATGATTAGCACATTGCTAATATAATGTGGAAGAATATACTAGAATATACTATAATATATAAGAAATATACAAACAAGAGGAAATGACTATATCATATTAGAGGAAGTTTGAGAGTAGCCCCAGTAGTAGAGAAGGTAAGGAGTAAAAGGTTAGCATCGTATAGGCATGGTATGAGGAGGGATGAATCGCATGTTACAAGGAGAACGTTAGTTATGAGTGTGGAAGGTTACATCGGCAGAGGTAGGCCAAGAAAGAGATGTATGGATTGCGTGAAAGATGACATGGTCTAAATGGGAGTGATGACTGAGATGACGGATGATAAGGCAGTGGAGATGACTAACTATCTAACTTCTTACTATAATATTATAAATGCGAAATTTTGGATGAATGAATGGATTTTTGTTAGAGTTTGTCGCCTAAACTAGTACGCGGATCTTAACGAAATTTGGCATAGATGTAGAGGACATAGGCAACTTACTTTTGTTTGTTTTTGTTTTGTTCGATTCCAGGCGGCAGGTCACGGGCTACTGCTAGTAAATTGTGTAAAAATGTGTGTAAAAATAAAATATTGCATGCAATATTGGAAATCTAATAATCTAGATAAAAGTCAGCAGTAACGTAAATTTTATCTTCTACCGTTGTCTAGCTATACTTTTGCGAATTCGATGTAATCAATCGATATAGTTACATTATTATCTATCAATACGTAAAACATACATACATACATACATGTAAAAAAAAATTGAGGTGTCTGTATTCCGAACTAAATATTACAAATTTCACGAACATGATGTATTTGCGAAATTGGCATTTAAAAAATTTTCTCTGTCTGCCCGCAAGCCGCGTTTGTTCAGGGTTATCTCCGAAACGGCTAAGCCAATTTTGATAAAACTTTCATTGGAAGCTAGCTGATGTACGCGAGAATGTTATAGATGACATTTTTTTTTCATTTTGCGCTAAGTTAGTTTGCCGCTGAAAGCTTTATCAAAATAAATGTCTTCGAAAACTAAAGTGTTTATAACTAACAAGCTTTCGCCCGCGACTCCATTCGCGTGGTACTAAAAACAACAAAAGTGAGTAGCCTATGTATTTTTCTAGACTATCCTCTACATCTATACCAAATTTCATCGAAATCCGTTCAGCCGTTCAGTCTACAAACTCTAACAAATATCCATCTAATCTAAACTTTCGCATTTATAATATTATTATGATTTTGAATAATTAATGAAGAATGTAAGAAGACAGTGGATTAAAATATGACGGCTGATAGAGAAGTACGTTTTATATTATAATACCCTTTGTATCGACTTTTTAACTGTTTAACATACCTATCGTTGATACTAGATGACATCGTGTTTTCTTCTAATTAAATTGTAGAAAATACGTCAACTGCGCGCAGTATACGGAGCAAATGCACGATTATAACTGAGTAATATGCGCAGACGCTGAGGGCGTTTCTAAAATAAAGGGCAAGAAAAAAACAAAGCAATGAGCTAAAAAAATTAAATCACAATCATTTTCCTACGACTTAAACGCGGCCGTTGTCTGTGACGTCAGTGTATATTATATTCCCTATGTTTCTCCGATGTGAACAACCAAAGTCAATTAAGAATCTTTTTGACAACAAAGTGTTTGGTTGGTTCACAAAGTTGTCATTTTTAAAAGAGTGATAAAAACACCTATAACTTTGGAAAAACACATAAAAATCTCTACTAATATAATAAAGCGTAAATACACACTTCTTTGTTGCCTAAGATGTCAGTAAATACAGCATATTTTTGAAAAAAAAATTTTTTAATAAAAAGTCCTACAGTTACGTCATGCTTTAGGCTATATATTTTCGCCCTATTAAACTTAGGGGTAAAAAAATTGGATAAAAACCCTAATGTGGAAAAGAGACCATAAGCTACGAGCTGCCAACATCAAGGAACCAAGGTTGACATTTATGCATTTTAATTTTAATATTTGAGAAATGTAAACAATAAAATAAAGTTTTTATAATTCAACGCGGATGA